TCTGACGTTGCAGAAAAGACGCAAAGATGTCACAATGACGACCTGACCTCTCGACCCGATCGTGATGCGGATTTTTTTCAGAGGCTGAGGCGTTTTTTTGCTTTACTTCCGCCGCCTTTCCCCAGCCTTCCGCCGGCTTTCGCCGACGGAGGCGGCATCGTTTTGCTTCCGCCGACCTTCGCCCTTCCGCCGCCTGCCGCCTATGAAGAGATGACAGCTCCTTCGATCCTCGAAGGCAAGACCCTGGACCCTTTTCGGACCGCCTCACTTGTGATGGCCCCTGGGCCGAAAACGCCCCGCAGCGTCCGCAGTGTCTTTCCACCCCAAGCAGTCATCCATATGGATGCGTCAGCTTGGAAATGCAACGGCAGTGCAGATGTCACGGGGCACCTCCTCGATGCACTCGAAGCGTTGGGGGAGGAACGCCAGGAATGAACAGAGCAGTCTGCACAACGTATCGGTCCTTCAGGAGAGCCCGGAACCCAACCAATAAGTCGGGTCGGCGATCGACCAAGCCAAGTCTAAAGAAGTCGAACTGGCGGAAACCTGCAGGCCAATCAGTCCTCCGTTGAGAAGCCGAGAACCACATCGAAACCCGATGCTGGACCGAATCGGAGCCAGAGTCGATCGAAATCGAATCGAATCGAGTCGGAGGGGTCGAAATGGACCCCGTCCTTTCGATGGGGGGGAAAGAAGAGGAGGAGGAGGAGGAGGAGGAGGAGGAGAAGGAAGAGAAGGAGGAGGAGGAGGAAGAGGCGGAGGAGACGGAGGAGGAGGAGGGGGAGGAGGACGACGACGACGTTGAGGAGGAGGAGCAGGAGGAAGAGGAGGAGGAGGAGGGAGGAGGATGCGGAGGCGGAGGAGGAGAAGGAGGAGGAGGAGGAGGAGGAGGAGGAGGAGGGGGAGGATGACCAGTGTACACCCAAGAGTCATCAACGACAAGCTCCCTTTTCATAGGTCCCATACAAGGATGATTTTCCACTGAGGGAGGTGCCTCGTTGCAAGACAGCCGTTTGAAGACTCTGAAGCACGCGCATGATTCTCGTAATTCTTCTCGGGGCTCCAACGCCACAGATGAACCTGACTCTTGCGTCATGACGATCCCGAATCATGCCAGAACGCCATTCTTGGGACTTCAACACGGCGAATTAACGTAACTGTTGCAGCCTCAGAATCCAGAATCTTTCCAGACCACCATTTCTGGTACGCTGACCAACAGAATCCGCGAAACTCTTGCAAACTTACGAAAGGAATGTGCACGGCGCTAAGGCAACAACCACATTGCGAAAAGGAACCGCCCTCAATCCGTAAAGCTCTTACAATTGTTCAAAACGAACGTGCGGGGCGCTAAGGCGAGAGCCACATGTTGAAAGCCACCCGACCTCCATCTGCGAAACTGTTGTCAACGTTTAAGCGTCAGGGTCACACATCGTGAGGACGTCTCAGGCGAAACGCCCCGCCCGCGTTACAGACAAGTCTGGTGCGTGAGGGGGATGAGTTATCTACAAGGAGAAGGGATGGAAGAGGAGGAGAAGGAGGAGGAGGAGGAGAATGAAGAGGAGGAGGAGGAGTCTGGATGAGGAGGGGGAGGAGGAGGGGGAGGAGGAGGAGGAGGAGGAGGAGGAACAGGAGGAGGAGGAGGAGGAGGAAGAGGAGAAGGAGTAATGAGGACGAGGGGGACGAGGACGAGGAGGAGGAAGAGGAGTACGTATGAGAAGGATGATAAGTGACGAGCGGTGATGAGGATGAGAAGGAAGAGTAGTGAGGAGTGAGGAGTGAGGAGTGAGGCGGAGGCGGAGGAGGAGGAGGAGCGGGAGGAGGAGGAGAGCTAAAGGAAGAGGAGGGGGAGAGGAGAAGGAGGGGGAAGAGGAGGAGGGGGAAGGGGGGGTGCTGGGGCAGACGCGGATCCCCCGTGGCCGGCGAGGGCCCGAGCCAGGCCCAGGGGGGCTGGGGGCCGCGAGCTGCGTCCTGGTCGCCGCCGCCGCCTGCCGGGCGGGGGGCGGGGAGGGCGGCTCGGACGCTCGGCCCTCCTCCTGCTCCTCTTCCACCCTCCTCCTCATCCTCCTCCTCCTCCTCCTCTTCCTCCTCCTCCTCACCTCCTCCTCCCTCCTCTTCCTCCTCCTCCTCCTCCTCCTCCTCCTCCTCCTTCTCCTCCTCTTCTCCTCCTCATCACTCCTCCTCCTCCTCCCCCTCCCCCTCCTCCTCCCCCTCCCCCTCCTCCTCCTCCTTCTCCTCCTCATCATCATCATCCTCTACTCACTCCTCCTTCTTTTTCCCCTACTTCCACGCCCCCGCCGCGTGGAGGGCGGGCACAGGAGGAGCGGAGCAACAGAAAAGCGAAGACACGTGAGGAAAGGCAAGACAAGGAGGAGGGGTAGGGCATGGAAGTTGGAAGAGAACTACGTTGGATGAGGGAGGAGGTGGAACAAGGTGGGGGGGACACGGAGGGCGGGTGAGAGGGAGACGGAGGGTGGGAGGATGGGAGGAGGAGGAGGAGGAGGAGGAGGAGGAGGAGGAGGAGGGGGAGGAAGGAGAAGGAGGAGGAAGAGGAGGTGGAGGAGGAAGAAGAGGAAGAGGATGAGGAGGAGAAGGAATCGAAGGAAGGTAGTACGGACAAGACGAAGAAAACCAGGGAGGGAGGAAGGACGGAAGGAAGAAGGCGGAGGAGGAGGGGGATAGGACAAGGAGAGATGATGAAAGAAGACGCGGAGGAATAGGGAAGAGCAACATGAGGGAGGAGGACGGAGGCTGCGGGGGAGGAAACTGACACCTAGTGATGAGGACAAGGCGGAGGATGACGAGAGAGGAGGATGAGGGCGAAGGACAAGGAGACGGAGGAGGAGGAGGAGGAGGAGAAGACTGAGGAAGATCAAGAGCGCACGTGCCATGAGGCGAACCGCATTCGCCATAAAACATGAAGGGCTGCGCGAACAGCGGAGCGCGTTGCGCACGTGCCAAGAGAACATCATGGCGTAAGTTTGTGGTAATTGTGATACGCAAGCGCAAGTTGGCGGTGTGCTTGCGTGCGACCGTTCTCCACCCCGCTGTCGCCAGACTCGCCTCAAAGCCCGAGACGACTCTGATAGGGGAAGAAATGGCGGTTGGAGAGCGTACGCGTCCAACAAAAAAAGGGGCAGGCGAAATCATAGGATACGGACTCAGCAGCCTTCACACATCCGAAACGGCGCAGACACTGCGGCAGTACCTTCGTCCGCTAGCGCTTTATCCATGCTCCCGCTGAGGCGTTCAGGTGTGGTCAACGCCGACTGACCTCTCGGGAGCCAACGAACGTGGCGAACATTGCGCAGCTCGCAGCCCCCGGAGAGGCCGTGAGGTCTCAAAGAGACAACCGCTGACTTCACCTCCCAGAAGCCCACGAAAGTGGCGACTGCTGCGCAGCTCGCAGCACTCGAGGTCTCAAATGAGTCCCCGCTGCCCTCACCTCCGCCGTGCCCCGCAGGAGCCCACGGAAGTGGCGACTGTTGCGCAGCTCGCAGCCCCCGAAGGAGCCGCGAGGCCTCAAAAGGACTCCCGCTGCACTCACCTCCGCCGTGCCCCCCAAGAGCCCACGAAGGAGGCGACAGCTGTGCGGTTCGCAGCACCCGAGAGAGCAGCGAGGTCTCCAATGAAAATCCGATGCCCTCACCTCCGCCGTGCCTCACAGGCACCGACGAAATTGGCGGCCGCTGCGCAGTTCGCAGCCCCAGAGGGAGCCGCGAGGTCTCAAAAGGACATCCGCTGCACTCATCTCTGCCGTGCCTCCAACGAGCCCAAGAATGGGGCGACAGTTGCGCAGCTCGCAGCCCCCGAAGGAGCTGCGAGTTCTCCAAGGGATCCCCGCTGCACTCACCTCCGCCGTGCCTCACACGAGCCCACGAAAGAGGCGACAGCTGCGCGGCTCGCAGCAACACCTGAGGGAGCCGCGAGGTCTCAAAAGGACCTCCGCTGCACTCATCTCTGCCGTGCCTCCAACGAGCCCAAGAATGGGGCGACAGTTGCGCAGCTCGCAGCCCCCGAAGGAGCTGCGAGTTCTCAAAGGGATCCCCGCTGCCCTCACCTCCGCCGTGCCTCCCAAGAGCCCGCGAAAGTGGCGACGGTTGAGCAGTTTGCAGCCACCCAGGGAGCAACGCAGGATGGAAATGATGATGCTGCTGGTGCTGGTGATGACGATGATGATGATGATGATGATGATGATGATGATGATGATGATGATGATGATGATGATGATGATGATGATGATGATGGTGGTGATGATGATGATGATGATGATGATGGTGATGATGGTGAAGCGCCCTCCAAGGCGTAACTCCCTGAAACCACGTGCCAACAGAACAGGCATCAGACCTTCTCAGACTTGTCTTTGCACCTACGAGGGAGAACTTCGTGAGCCAATTGGTGGTGGACCGAGGGATCTCTCGAGCCTTCGGGATTCAAGGCAGTAGTCCACCCTTTGCTGTCCCACCTGAATGCTCGGCCACGAAAAGATCGGGAAAATGTCTTCGTAGAGATTCCGCTGGGACTGAAATGCACGCGCCGTTGCAGAGGAGGAGGAGGAGGAGGAGGAGGAGGAGGAGGCAGACGGCAGGAGGAGGAAGGCAGGGCGGACAAGGGAGGCGGGCGGGAGAGGAGGTGGAGGCCACCGTGTTCTATTCAAAAACGAGGCCCCAACACAAGAGGGTTGGGAAAGAACGCTGTACCCGCTGCGCCGGCTGCCGAGTCAGAGTGCTCTTGATGTCGATGCTCAATGCTGGTGGCCTGGTCATGCCCCCCAAAGTGTCCGCATCAAGCTGGCCAATCCGAGCAACCAGCGGCAACTAGTTCCACAAACTGGTTATTGCATGTTGTTATGTACTGCTGCCATGACACCCTGAAACTCAACAGAAATGTTGCACAACTTCTGGGAGCTGGTCTTGATTCATCTGCCTTCCTTCCGCCATCAGAACCCCCGCCGTCTTACTGCCGCCAGGACTTCGCCGGGGAAGAGATGCCAACTTCTCGGCCTCTCGAAGGCGAGGCTCTCCCTGGAGCCCGCAAGGCTGTTAACCCCTGTCCTGGTACCGAATGTTGTCGTTCTGCCGGCCGGCTGGCGGGCTCCGGGCACCAGAGGCTGGACCCCCAGATGCCGCGGGTGCGGACTTCTGCCGATGCTGCTGACGCTGCAGAAGGGCTCGCGGGTAACGTGTTGCTTTCGAGATACAGTCGAAGCCACCACTCTTCTTCCCCACGCGGAGCCAAGGAGGAACCCGTGTACCACGTCCGCGATGACCACCACCAGCATGGCCAGCAGCACCAGCGGCAGCGGCAGGCGCAGTTGCAGACCGATGTATCGCGATGTTGCGGACAGATGCATCGCGAGGCTGGTGACGGGAAGACCTGCTGGAGCTGGGGCTGGCCTCCGCGCGCGCTCCACGACGACGGCGACGACCGTCGGCCCTGCGCGCCCTGGCACGATGCTGAAACCCGCTTAGGGCATGTGTCCGCCAAGCATGTGCAGTAAGGGTGAGAGCAGAATGTGCAGCGCACAGGCGCATGGCACGAGGCACGAGGAAGCCTTGGTGTTGGCTGCTCGCCTCGCGCCCCCCCCAAAAAGCTGAGCCCCTTCAGAAACGCCTTACTTGAGCCCAAACGGTTTAAGCTAGCGTGCGTAGCCACCTCCTCCTCCTCCTTTTCCACCCCCTCAACCCTCCTCCTCGATCTCCTCCTCGACCCCCTTCTCGACCTTCTCCTCGTCCTCTTCCTCCTCCTCCTCCTCCTCCTCCTCCTCCTCCTCCTCCTCCTCCTCTTCCTTCTGTGAGGAGGAGGAGGAGAAAGATGAGGAGAAAGAGGAGGAGGAGGCGGAGAAGGAGGAAGAGACGACGCAGCCGCGGAGGAAGAGGAGGAGGATGGGAGCGATTCCCAGACGCTCCCCCATCTATGGTAGCACCCATGCGAATACGCCCGCGCTCTTTTAGACGTTTCCCCGCCCCGCGGGCCTGCGGGGTTCAAGCTGGCGCTTGGGCGCAGCCCCGTCTGGGGATGCGGCAGCGTGCCGTAGAGCGCCTCGAAGTTTCGAACCACCTGCAGGGGGGATCCCCTCCTCCTCCTCCTCCTCCTCCTCCTCCTCCTCCTCCTCCTCCTCTCCCGTGCCTCATCTCCGCTCCCCTCCTCCTTGCCTCCTCGTTGTCGTCACCTCCCCTCCTCCTCCGTCTCCACCTCTGCGTCATCAGCCCTTCTCCTCTTCCTCCTTTAATCCTCCTCCTTCTCCTCCTGCTTCTCCCTGTCCCTGCGTTCTTCTCTTCCCTCCCATGCGGGAGAGAGCTGCGGAGTAAAGGTCTGGTAGCGCCAGAAGGACAAGGACGAGGAGAAGATCGAGGTGACGGGGGTGGGGTAGGAGAAGGTGGAGGGCGGATGCCAGATTTTACCTATACGACCACCCTGCGGGTGATAAGGAGGTGAGGGGGGAGGGGGAACCAACGTCTCACTCAATCGATGTCGCTATCGATCTCACAATCGGTCTCACATTCGATCTCACTAGCGATATCACTATCGATCTCGCTATCGATCTCACTATCGATCTCACAATCGATCTCACAATCGATATCACCATCGACGTGGTCATCATCATCATCATCATCATCATCATCATCATCATCATCATCATCATCATCATCATCATCATCATCATCATCATCGACATCACCATCAACATCATCATCATCATCGTCATCATCATCAGCATCAGCATCAGCATCAGCATCGTCATCATCATCATCAACGTCGTCATAATCATCACAATCAGCATCACCATCATGGCCATCATCACCATCATCACCATCAGCATCGCACAATCGATCTGATTATCGATCTCACAGTCGAACTCCCAATCGATCTCACAATCGACGCCATCATCATCATCATCATCATCGTCATCATCATTATCATCATCATCACCATCATCACCATCATCACCATCATTACCATCATCACCATCATCACCATCATCATCTCACAATCGATCTCATCATCGATCTCACAATCGATCTCACTATCGATCTCAAAATCGATCTCACATTCGGTCTCACTATCGATGTCACAATCGATCTCACAATCGACGCCATCATCATCATCAACAACACAAACATCATCATCATCATCATCATCATCATCATCATCATCATCACCATCATCACCATCATCACCATCACCATCATCATCATAATCATCCACATCATCATCGGGACACCGACGGGACACCGACGGGACACCAGCGGGACACCGGCGGGACACCGCGCGCCACCGGCCGCCCGGAAGAGACACATTTGGTCCGGCCGCGCCTCAGCCACAGGGACACCGACGGGACACCAGCGGGACACCGGCGGGACACCGCGCGCCACCGGCCGCCCGGAAGAGACACATTTGGTCCGGCCGCGCCTCAGCCACAGGGACACCGACGGGACACCAGCGGGACACCGGCGGGACACCGCGCGCCACCGGCCGCCCGGAAGAGACACATTTGGTCCGGCCGCGCCTCAGCCACAGGAGACTTTCCTCTCGCCCGCCCACGCAGCTTCGCCTCGCCCGCGCGCACGGCACGCACGAACACGAAACCGAAATCGATTTCCTGGTAGGGGGGCTCTCCGTTCCACTTCGATCTCACCCCCTCACCTCCGACTTACTACCTTCCACCGGGAGCCTCACTTCCTCGCTCCCCCACTTTGGCATCTGGCGTCGCTAAGAGGAAAAGAAACACCACGTCGCGAGCAAGCACGGCCGGAGCTCCCCAGATGGCCCCTTCGCTCTCGGGAGGGCTCGTCGCGAGCCGAGCCAGTCCGATCCGCGCGGCGGCCCCGAGGCGTAAGAGAAACAGCGGGCAAAAGGCCGCATGATTGGCGGTTGCTGCCGCGACGCCCGAACCACACGCGATGGCCGCAGGCGGCCGTCGACGAATAGAGAACGAACAAGCGGCATGACTACTAGAAGCTTTCGGACCTCCTCCTCCTCCTCCTCCTCCTCCTTCTCCTCCTCCGTCTCCTCCTCCGCCTCCTCCTCCCTCCACCGCCCGCCCCATGTCCCGAGTTCGTGGCAGGGTCATCAGCTCGTCATTGTCGTTGTCGTCGTGGTCGTCGTGGTCGTCGTCGTAGTCCTTCTGGGTCGACGGCACCAGCCGTGAGGCCTTCAAAAGATCAGCTCTCGGAGCTCCGCGGGGGTTTCTTGGATCGGCGCTGGGTCCCCTCGCAGCGCATCTGGCGCCGCCCCTGGCAACGATCCGAGAACTCTGCGCGGAGCTCCGAACGTCTACGTTTATGCAGATGATTTCTGCGGCCGAAGCCCGCGGTGCGCTGGCACTGACGCGTCCCTCAATGGTGGGGTCCTGGTCCAGGCGGAGGTTGACGGGGTGCAACAAACACGGGGGGGGGGGGGCCGTCGGGGTGCAGGAAAGCGTCCCTCGAGGGGACCCCAGCGGGCCCCCCTGAAAGAGGCCCTGAAGGCCCTCAAAATGCCAACCGGACTCCACAAGGCACTGGAAAGGTGATTCTTTCTTCACCGCCCTTTTACTCTCCCCTACCACATCAGACATCCGTCCAATCCAACTTTTCCTATGCGTGGGACACTGGAGGTCTGAACCACTTTCCTAGGGCCGGGTTTTCGTCCTGAGTCGCATCTTGACGGTCCTGGGGCCAGGCGAGGGCCCCTGGAATCGAAAATGGCCAAAAACCGGCTTCCCCTGGCCTTTTTGTCGGAGCCTTGGATCTCTTTTGGATCGTCTGGCCGACTCCTCAAGGGCGGGCCGGGTTCGGCTGCACGTGCGAGCGACCCTAGGCAAGAGTGACCTGTGGTGCGCGCCTTTCGGGGCCCGCGGGGCGGCCGAGCCGGAGCGCGCAAGCCGCTGCCACTGCATCGCATTCCACCATCTCGGGGCCCCCCGGTGTGGCCCGCACCACAGGCCACTCCAGCGAGAGGCCACTCCTACGTCTAGCCGACGGGCTCAGGGCCCACTTCCGTCGGCATCCGGCAGACTTCTGCCAGCTCCCGCTCGGCGGAGCCGCGGCCCCCGCCGAAGGCGAGACGCCATGCTTTTCTTTGTTTGCTCGAACCAGATGATCTTTATGGCCACTTCAACAGCTCTGAATTGGGATCGCCTGCTTTGGCGACGGAGCGCGTCGAATTCGCACGGAAACAAAGACTCCCGTCGCTGCGCCACGCGCCTCGCTCCATCATGGAGCCCCTACCGTGGGGCAGCTGCTGGCCGGCCTGCAGCAGGCGAGACGCCGTCTTCTCGGTGCCTCGAGGGCCAGGGCCCCTCTTTCGAACGGCCTGCGCGCGTGTCCCAAGGATCGGGGCCAGACGGGGGCCCAGATCCGCCGTGGCCGACAGTTTAAATGCGGCCTCCGGTCGAGGCGTCGACGTCCTCGAAACCCTCGCTTGGACCCCGACGCGCCGTCTCTTCGATTCCGGAATTCGACCCCCTCTGCTCTCGACCGACACGTGGCGCGACCGAATTCCGTAACCGGAAATTCTGTGTCGCGGATGATCTGGGGGGGCGCGGGCGGCCAGCATCGGCGGCTGCACGTGTGAACTCCCTGGCCACCGGCCCGCACTGTACTATCTGCTTCAACACCTGCACCTGGCAGCCGCGGGAGGCACGCACGCCATTCCATCGTCGTCGTTCTCGTCGTCGTCGCAGGATGAGTCAGCATCGAATCGGCAGATCGGAGCACATGGAAATGGGTATCGGATCGGGCTGCATCGGCACGGAATCGAAATCGGATCGGGGTTGCGCCAGGATGCACGATTCTGCCATACAAGCATCGGGCCGCATCGGATCATCGGAATATCGGAGTCGAATCGGATCGGGCTGGCCGGAGTCGATATCGAATCATCTCGATCGGACCGAAATGGGCCCTGCGTCGTCGCCCGCGTCGTCCTCGGGACCTGCAGAGAACGAGCCACGGTGCGGGGTCCAAGCCAACGGTGCGGCTGAGAGTCTTGGATCCGCCTAGGCTGGGCCCCGGGATGGCGTGAGGGACGATCCTCGGGCCTCGGCCCTCACTTCCATTCGGCCACGTCAAGCCGTACCAAGCACCCGTTTCCATGTGCTGGGCATCGCAGGACTTGCCTCAAATCTGGGCGACGCCAAGAAAGTCGTCACGGCACGTTTTTGGAATCTCTGGGATCTGGAAGCCGTTTCGCGGCACCGTGACCGATAAACGCTACCCTGGCGAAGAACCCAGCCCTCTGCTAACGCGTGGCGACTATGTATAGGCCCTCTCAGGTTGGACGGGTCACCATGTGAACCCAACCACTGGCGCCTTTGGTGCAGCTCCCTCTGGGGCTACGAAGCGTGTGAGGGGTGCGCCGAGATGGGGCGGGTCACCATGTGAACCCAGCCACGGGAACCTATAAGGCCATGAAGCGTGTGAGGGGTCTGTCGAAATTGGCGGCGCGTTGCCGTGTGAACTTAGCCACTGGCGCCTTCGGTGCAGTTCCCTGTGGGGCCACGAAGCGCGTAAAGGGTGTGCTGAAATGGGGCGGGTCACGAAGTGAACGCAGCCACGGGCGCCTTCGGTGGAGCTCCCTATATGGGCCCACGGCACGTGTGAATGGTGTGCCAGATTGGGACGGGTCACCATGTGAACCCAGTCGCCGGCGCCTTCGGTGGAGCTCCCGATGGGGCCACAAAGCGTGGGCGGTCGATGGGTCGAGTCACCATGTGAACCCAGCCACTGGCGCCTTTTGGTGGAGCTTCCTATGGGGCCGCGAAGCGTGTGAGGGGTGTGCCGACATGGCGGGTCACCATGTGAACCCAATCGCTGGGGCCGTCGGTGACGCTTCATATGGGGCCACAAAATGTGCGAGCGGAGTGCCGAAATGGGGCGGGCAAACATGTGAATCTAGTCACTGGCGCCTTTGGTTCAGGCCCGACGGAACGAGTGAAGGGTGCCGAAATGGGGCGGGATATCAAGTAAACCCAGCCACTGGCGCCTTTGTAAGAGCTCCCCATACGGGCCACGAAATGAAGATGGTGATGTTCACGACGACGATGATGATGGTGATGCTGGTTGTGATGATGATAGTGGTGCTGCTGCTGATGATGATGACGCTGCTGCTGATGATGACGATTCTGATGATGGTGATGGTGATGGCGATGATGATACGGACCCCCCCCGCGGCAGTCCTTCTCCTTCACGAAGCAGCGAGCAGCTGAACGCGGGCGCACTTTCGACACAGGGCCCTGACCCTGGCGTGCACCATCGAAGCGGCAGCAGCTCTCGAAATAATATCTCGAGCTCGGAGTGAGTTGAACGCAGCATGTATCGCATCCGTGGCAATATAGAAAGAGAGAAGCGAATCAGACGAGGCGATAGGCGGCGCGGCGAGACCAGAGGCAGCAGAAAACGAGACGGTCTCCCACCAGGATGGGAGCGAGGGCAGAAGAGAACGGAGACAGAAAATAATAGGGGGGCAGCGAAGGTAGCGCTTCATAATGTCGCTACCTTCGGCCCTGCATCCAAACCTGCAACGGGTCGCTCGGTTCCTGTATCGAGCGGCGGTGTTCCAACTGTTAGTCCAAGTTTTCAATGTGGCGTTTAATATGAAGGGGGGCAAGCTGTTTGGCGGCCCACCCGAAACGGATTAACGCAGTATCTACTTCCTGACAAGAGAGCTCTAAATTCCAATACTTAAACCGAGGGATCAGAGACTCGCGAATATGTCCGGAGCCCAACTTAAACAAGTGCTCGCAAACAGACCTCTGAAAGTGAGACTCATTCCAGTAATTTACAGGGACACCAGGGATATCAGAAAGACCCTTAACGTTTTCGTGTAGACAGAAGAAGACCGAGTTACGGAACATATGCTGATATCTGTAAGCCACGACGTAGTCCCCTTCCTCCCAGAGTTCATCAAATATCCCAACCTGGCGGTGGTATGCTGTAGCTTCGAGCGCATTCCGATACATAGAAGCGCGGACCTCGCACTCCAAGTCACGCAGATTAGGTTCCAGCTGAAGGTCTTCGAGCTTGAGGAGAGTGAGGTGAGGGATAGAGAATCTGGGACTGTGCGTGAGAAGCTGGCCAGCTTCGCGATAAGCATCGCGAACTTCACGACGAACAAGGAAGAATTGTCCGACATATAGTAGGACCGACGTCCCCACTGAGTTGAACCTGGCAATGGAGCTTAGCAGCGATAGACCAGCAGCTTTCACTTCCCGGGCTCGAGCGACAACTGTACAGGACGGGGCGCGCCAGGAGCGCAGAGCCGCCGAACAACCAATCATTACCCCAAGGTATTTTGCATGGTCGTCGATCTTAAACACCGTAGCGCCTAGGCCGTGTGCTGAGAACTTCTGCAGAGCAGCTTCTCTGTGGTAACGTAGTGTGACTATGATCGTTTTAGCGCAGTTAATAGTGAGACTAGGTGCACGGCTTTGACGCTGAAAGTCAGAGATAATGCCAGGCAGCTGGCGAAAGACATCCCGGTGAGCGATGCCTAGGTCGTCGGCGAACGCGCCCAGCTTGCCTGCGTCTACCGGGGGCTCGGACAGCAGGGCTCTCACGAAGGGGTCGAGGGCGAGAGCAAACAAAGAGCCACTGAGCGGGCAGTCTTGACGTACTCCGCGCAACAGAGGAAAGCCGTCAGAAATAATGCCCCCAAGCATAATCTTGATGACAACATTGGAATATAGGTTCTGAAACACTCGAACAATGGTCCCAGGGATACCCATTCGCAGCAAGACTTTCCAGATCCAGCCATGGTCCAGGGAAGGAGACCCCGCGGTGAAATCGAAGAACGCGCAGCCTACCTCTGTGTTCGCGTGGAGCGCATCTTCAAACGCCAGAGACCCGTCGATGCTGACGATGTTGTCGGACGGGCTGCGTCCTCTAATGAAACCTCTCTGGTGAGCGTCGCATAGGGCCTCCGCAGCTTTGGCAAGGCTGAGGTTGAGGAGGCCGCAAATAATTTTCATATCCGCATTGCTGAGGGCAATGGCTCGAGTGATTCCAGGTGTCCTTTCAACTCCCGAGGGCCCTTCAGCATCGAGAGCTCGGGGCAAGAAAACGCACGGCCCAGCGTTGAAGTCCTCCTGGACCTCGTTGCCCTCAAGGATGGCAAGGTAGAGGCTGCACAGCGAGCAAAGGCCTGTGCTTCCACTGGCCTGCCAAGCAGAGAACGGCACGCCGTCGATGCCAGGGCTGGCGTCCGTAAGATGTTCGACGTACTTTTCGAACAGGGGGTGGGGGATCTTCCATGCAAAGTCGAGGGGAAGGGCGCGAACGAATTGCAGAAGCCATGCTTGGTCAGCTGTGTAAGTAGAGTGTCTGCTATGGACTTCACCCCAATGACGTGCAAGCGCAGCGGCAGCAGCACGAGGTTCAAGCTCGACTGAACCGTCGGGAAGAGAAACGCCTGACAGATAAAATCTCCGAGACCTGGTGGCCCATTGGGCCATGAGACGGGCGCCCCGTTGTTTGCGGGTCGCTTTGGTCAAAGCCGAGGCGCGATTCTCATTCTCAACCTCTTCAAGTTGCTCTTCAGTAAGAGCACGGCCGTGGGCAGCAGAAAAGCGGTGGAAGGCGGGCTTGTCCAGCCACATCAGCGGCGCGGTGCTAATGAAAGTTCCTAGCTCAGGGGCAGCGTGGATGGCACTCAGGATAGTCCTCAAATCTTGCCGATTCATGGCACGGTTCACCGCGAACGCCCGCGCCAGGGCTTCAGCCCGCGACTCAGGGGGGTGGAGGGATCACCTGTTCTTCACAGACTTACCTGCCTCAAACATAAGAGCTTTGATTTCCCGAATCCTTTCGGAAACGTCTTCAGAGAGATCGTGTTCCTGAATGAGTTGTACGAGGACCTCGTTATATAGCGGATGCTTGCTAACCCACGAGGGAAAGGTCGGCCTTGCGGCCTGTTCCTGCGGCGAAAACGATACATGCACAGGACGGTGATCACTCGGCTGGTTAGAATCAAAGATGGACCACTGAGAGCTGGCCATGGCATGCATGTCTGTAAAGTCGGTGGTCTACATGTTGGTGTATATATATGGTCTAGACGACCCACAGAGACGAGATCGGATCCTTCATATGCGGCATGTGCGGGGCTGGCCTGGTAGCACTCAGCGAAGCTGCTAAACTTCTGCGCAAGGAACTTGCCGAGAGAGCTGGGAGGAAAGTGCTCGCGATCTGCTGCTAATGTATATCGGCCTTCTCCAACGTCATAGGAATTAAAGCCGCCGGGCAGGAGCGCCGTGCACTTGTCGGGCGGGGGCATTTGTGATGCCAGAAGAGGGAGCTGCCTCTTTTTCTCGATGAAGGGGGCTTGTGGGCAGAGAAGGATGTTAGAGATTTGGAGAGAGCCATGCACGCCAGAGAGTAGAACAGAGTGGGTGCCACCAGCAACTATAATGTCTTGCGCGACATGATCGAAGAGCTCGAGTAAACGCTTGTGAATTACAATCAGAGAACCTCCTGATGCAGCAGAGCGGTGGAAGTTGGGGAAGATCCGACGCCAGGAACTTCGCGCTCACTAGGATCTTCATCGCCTATGTGTCCATGAGTTTCTTGTAAACATGGAATCTGATGTCTTTGAATGAGGAAGGTTAGCCTACTGAATTTAAGGCCCTGCGAACTTCTAGATCCCTGAAGGTGTCCAAAAAGCGCGTGAACATTCCAAGTGCATGCTGAGAGGTGGGAAGAGGGGAGGAACGCACACTGGGAAAGCGCACCAGCTCGCGCACTAGCGCTGGCAATGTCGAGAGAACTGGACTCGCAACTAGAGTCGTCGGAGGAGGAGGCAGAAGAGGAGGAGGAGGAGGAGGGGACATACTCAGAAGAGGAAGAAGATGACGTCGAAGAAGCACTGGACTGCTGCGCTGGATCGGTACCCCGTCAGAGGTAGGATGATGGCCGAGAGGCCGATTCCTCGGCGGCCTTGATCAGGTTGCGGGCTTCGTCCTCGGCGATGCCCCATTCAGCGAGGTCGGACAGGTTCGGAACGTACTCGACGATGCCCTTGGCATCAATCTTCACGTGGAACAGCACCCGCACCTCGTCGGCGGGGGTGACATTGAGGTCCTTGCGGTAGCCGTTGGCGCCGAGCTTGAACTCCTCGGACCAGCTGCCCTTCTGCTTGAGCACGTTGAGCGTGGCGACCCACAGCGGCGAGAACAGGCGTTGGACCTCTCGAGCGTCCCGAGGCGTGTCCCCTCGAACACGAATATGCAGCGTCTTCTTGCGGCGTTTGTCGTAGTAGGCGATGGTTGATGAGTTATCTTTGCAGATAGTGGTGAATCTCTGGGCCAATTCTTCCGAGGCGAACTCAACAGAGCAGCTCATGGCGATTCCTGCGAATTGTGGATCGGCTCCCTCCTGCAGGTCTTGCGGGAGTCGAGCACAGAGAGCAGCCCAATGTTTTTTACGTTCACCACGAAGCAGGGGACGACCGAAACCGTGAACCCATCGACGCTTTGGATTGGAGCCTTCAACAGCAGCAGTGGCGGAAGCAACGGCTGGAGACGAAGAGGCACGAGTTGAACCTGAGGCTCCTGATGACGAGCGAGACTCCATTTGCTGCCGTAGTTCAGAAAGCGTCTGCTCCATGGTCTCTTCCCTGGAATTCAACTGGATGCTGGTGCCAACCGCCTCGACGTCGATCGGCTGCCCCTGGGCGGTTGCGGCGATGCTGGATGTGAGGATCTCGAATTTGGACTGGTGCTCCTGGTAGGTGATGTTCATGGAGGCCTTTATGTTCGAGATCTCGTGTGTGACCGTGTTGAGGGCATTGTCATGGATGGCCAGGGAGCTCTGAATTTCGCCCATTTTCCCAATCAACTGCTCGAGCTGCGACTGAGAAGTGTTGAGCGCCATGGCGGAGCTGCCCACGCTCCAGTGGGCGGGCTCTGAAGATGAAACGGCTGCTGCAAACCTGGATGCGAGAGAGATGACTCCCACCCACTGAAGGGCCACTGGTCGGGAGTCTGCGAAAGCAATCGGGAAGGCCCTGTGCCTCCCAAAGCAGCTCGAGCTCCCCGTCGGCTGCGACCAAGGTCGAAGCGCCAGGGAAACGTTTCGACCTTGAGCCAAAATGGCTACGGATGATGATGATGATGATGATGGTGATGATGATGATGATGATGGCGATGATGTCGACTTCGCCGATGGTGTTGATGCCAGTAATCGTAATGGTGATATCAGAAATAACAATAGCACTGTACACGCGATACGGATGATAATAACAATGGTAGAATTGATGTTGCTATTACGAGTAATACTGCTGATGCTGCTGTTACTGATGATGATGGTGATGATGATCATGTTCATGATCATGTTGATGATGCTGATGATATCGCCGATGAACATAACGATCACGATGATGAAGACGATTGTGCTGATGGTTATGCTGATGTAGATGGTGATGATGATGCTGATGATGATGATGATGATGATGTTGCTGATTGTGATGGTGCTGATGATGACGATGCTGGTACTGATGATGATGATAATGACGATGATGATGATGAATGTGATGATGACGATGATGATAATGATGATGATGATGATGATGATGATGATAATGATGATGATGATGATGATAAGTAAGATGATGATGGCAAGGATGAGGGGAAGCGCGAGGCGGAGAAGAGACGCGCGGCGACGTGGATTCAAAACGAGGACGTCACACGCAAGAGGTTGGGAAACAACTCAGGAGGAACAGCCAGCCCTGGGAAACGGGTCGAGATCGCCAGGTGGCCGCGGCATGAAAAAGCTGCGACGTCGAAGGAGAAGGAAAAGGGTCCTGGTGCAAGCCCCGGGATTTAACTGCGTCTGGGGTCCGCGGAGGGGTTCTGGGAGCCCCAGACACCGCGTACTCAACACTAAAGCCTCCAGTGCCTCTTTCTCCCTGGGTCCCTTCCCTCCATGCGCTGTCCATTTGGCGGCCGGCCTGACGTGAGTTCGGTTGCCGCCCCCCACCTTCGGTGACAACTCACGGGAGCCTCCCATGCCATCTTGCAGGCTCGTGCGAATCGGGGCTAGTCGATGTGAAATCAGCGCTTTCTCACATGTTGCCAGAGGCTGCAATCGAAGGTCTCGCACACCAAAGACGGAATTGCGAGGGCATACAAGGCTCCTACGATCTGCTACCGAACCCACCCCCCGCCCCCCCGACCTAAAGTCGGGAGCGGCCAATAGGGGGGTGTGCAAATCATGACCGGCGGCATGTGCGCGGCCCAGCGGGGGGGCCAGGGACGTAATGAAATAAGAAGAGGCGCCATGAAAGCTGGGGAGATATCATGGCCCCCGCCATGATATCCCCCCCCCCTTAGTCATCACCCCCCTCTTTTCCGCCACCCGATAAAGGCGCGAAGGGCGCGAGGCCGTGCGCGAGGCGGGCCGCAACGCTCCGCGCGACGCTGCCGCGAGCGGGGCCGGGCGAGCGACGCCAAGGCAGCGGCCCTGCGCGTGGCGGCACGGCGACCTGACGCGGCGGCGTGCGCGGCCCCCAGCGTGGCGGACGCAGAGGGCGCTCATCGGTGGTTCACGGATGGGGTCCTGAGTGATGGGGCCCTGGCGACGAAGTGTCCCAACCACATGTAAAACGAACCTCTTGGATCCCTTCCTGTGTGCAGGGCGCCATCCCTCAGGGGCCCATCTTTGAGCTGCCGAGCTCACGCGCGACCCTGCACGGACAGCTCGCGCGGCTCGAGCGCCAGTGCCAGCGCGGTCAACACCTGTCCTCGAGTCGCCAAGACGGGACCATATCCTAGTGCTCGTAGTATCCTGCAGGCGTGGGGGTCCGTTGTGCCAGTCTCTGACGAAGCGGGGGGGGTGTAGGCTTCATCACGTCCTGGCACCGAGCTCCCCTCCCCCAGCTTCAGGAACGAGCGCTGGGCAATGATCTTGCTGGCGTCGTCCGCGTCGACGCGGAGGTCCAGGACCACCATGTGTTTCCCCGCCCCCTCCTCAAGGAGACAGGAACCCCAACCGGAGCCATCGTCGAGAAGGAGATCTCCAAATCCAGGCAGTTCCCCACCCCTTCTTTCGTTTCGCCGGGGCTTCCAGCCCCCGGATCCTTGAAGCCCTGCAGGCTGCTCTCCAGGTCGGTGCAGAGGAATCCGCCAACGCGCTTGCAGCGGTTGGTGTGCGTCGGGCCATGTCGCCTTTTGCGGCAGCACTTCGGCCCCCCCGACGCATCGAGCTCAAGATGCTCTCGTTTTCGAAGTCACGTCCCGCGTTTTTGGCCTTCCAGGCAGAAAGTGGCCCCACATACAGAAAGGCCTGGGAGCCAGGGAAAGGGATGTTCCATGGACTCTTCCCCCTGCCCCCCCCCCCAAGGCGCCCAACCCCCCCCGCCCGAGCGCGGTGGCGGAATCGTGCGGCAGCGCAACTGTATAGCCTGCATGAGAAAGCCGGGCCCTGGGAAAAACGGGTGGTGGACACCTCCTTCGCCTCCAGTCTCTCGAGCGCACACCTGCCGGTCGCCTCGCCGCCTTCAGCGAGGAAGAAGGCCGTCGCCTGGGGGGTGAAGCAATCAAGAATGGCACGCGCTCCGACTTAGAGAACGAGAAGCAGTCCCTTGCAAGGAAGCCCAGTACCAACCCTGTGCCAAATTGCAGCCCCCCTCTGGCTAACTCTTTCTGTCGGCGGCGCTTGACGCGGTCTGATGCGAGCGAACTTTAGCGGGGCGCGCAATGCCGAGTGTTGCGCCCGATGCAAGAAACCAGGCAGAGAGGAGGGGAGCCGGCCGCAAAGCTCACGGCCCCGTCAACGTAAACGGGGACTTCGATAAACCAGGCTATCGGCACGCCCAGGAAAGAAACTGCAGCCACGGCTCGAAGCAATCCGCATACCTCGCCCTCTCCAGCGGCATACTGCAAAATATGGGTCTCTCCGGTGGCAGCTGATGGGAGCCTCCCATACACTATTGTTGGCTCGTTTGAATCGACGCAGATCGACGCAACTCGAGGCAAATCGACGCGAAATCGACGCTAGCCGACAAGCATCGGCGCTCTCATCGATTACCAGATAATCGACGCCAGTGCGCTCTAGAGACGGCATTACGAGGGTACACGATGCTCCCGTGATTGGCCACCGAACTGGTCTGCAGTGCCCTGGCTGGGCCCCGAGGAGCGAGGGAGCGTCCCGCGCGCTGGCGCGGCCACGGGGCGCGGCCTCAGTTGCGCAGAGGGATTGTGTCACACCTCCATCGTGCCCGGCCAGGGCCATCCTGGGCCTTGGCATGGTGCATGCCCAGGACCCCCTTGAGCCATAGCCTTGCAAAGCCTCGGGACCGTCAACCATCGATTCGGAATCCCGGGGAATCGGTCGAGACCTCTGGGGGTCGACGTTATGAAACAAACTGTGACGTCGGGGGTCTGGGAACGCCACCGTGGCCTCGGCCAACAATGTCTGTACCTCATCCTGGGGCCCAGGATGGCCCAGGCCAGACACGGTGGTGGTGCAATACATAGCTTCTGTGGATCAATGCCCGCCAGCACCCCGCTCCCCCAACCCAGGGCGCGGCGTCACCGCAGTCCGAAAGGCTCTGTCCAGAGGAGGGCGTGCAAGAGAGGCGCCCTCTCTGAGGGGGGTGGTCCTCCCGCGAAGGATTACCTAGGTCACCTATTTTCGCGCAACGCGCCCCGCGATGCGTGCAGCGTGATAATCTTCACCCCCTTGCCCCCTCGCACTGCCCACTTGGAGAAAGGAACCGCTCTGGCCCAGATCGCGATGAGCGACTCGCGAATTATCTTCGCGCCCCTGCCAGTGACTTAGAAGACCTGGGAAGCCGCGACGGGCTCCTCGAGGTTCGGTTCTCCTCGGCAATGCCTTTTCAGACCAACCTCTGGAGATCGAGATCCCATCCCTAAGAGAGCGTGTGAGTGTAGAGCCTGGCGAAGCACACCTGGAAACGGACAGGGCCGCCGTATGACCGTAGGCACACTGCTTCAGTGCTCGACGCTCTGAGTTGGAAAGGGTGGCGGTCGCTTCTGCTGGTGGACATGGAAAAACCCTGATACATGCATATGGGGTGGGCCAGACAGGGGGTGGGGGGCGTGTTCACCTTCCTTTTCTCTACACATTTCTCCCTCATTTCGTGCCTCCATCGTTCCCTTCCTCCACCTCCACCCGCTCCTCCTCCTCCTCCTCCTCCTCCTCCTCCTCCTCCTCCTCCTCCTCCTCCTCCTCCCTCTCTCCTCCTCCTGCTCCTCCACAACCTCCTCCTCCTTCTCCTTCCTTTTTCCTCCACCTCCTCCTCCTCCTTCCTCTTTCCAATGCCGAATTAGACCATGACGGGCCGAGAGCCACCGTGTTGCATGTCTGCGGGGGAGGGGGAGTGAGGGGGGGCAGGGGGAGTGAGAGGAGGCAGGAGAGGAGGAAGACAAGGAGCCTTGGGGAAGAAGGAGGAGGAGCGCCAATACCTCCTGAGTCCACGGGTCTCTGGGTACTGAACGCCCCGTGGGTTTCAACCGGGGGTCAAGCCTAGTCGATCCAGGCGGAGGCGAAACAATTGAGTATGTGCTTGGCAGTTTGGCAAATGCCGCTGTGATGGTTCTGCTGCGGAAGAGTTACAAGGGCGCCCGTTTTGATGTGATGACATTTCCTTGGCAACGTGGTACGTATGTATATGTATATATATATATATGCATAAAGATAGAATCTGAGAGGTGTTGCCAAAACTGTATTTCCCCGGGTGAGGTCGAACGCGGGATATTGCACAGCGAGTCCAAGCCCTAGACGGAGGAGGGAACACGACGAGACGACAGCTCGCGGACGACAAACGAGGTAAGTGAGACGGGTGCACTTTGAATAGTGTGCTATTATATTGGAGAGGATGGTGATGATGATGCGCCGCCCGGTGGAAGCGGCAAGTCCCAGTTAAACACAAACACTCAAGAGCAAATTTCTCCGGGCCTGTCTTTACAAACGAGGCTGCGCAAAAGATCGCCTGCCAGACTCCAAATAATTTTGGGATTCCGCGTCCCATCCCGGTTAAATCGGGATGTCCACCCAGACTGGTCCCAACGGTGGACTTTGCCACGTCCACCTCGGGAGAAGGTTTTGGAAGACCTGCCGGACGCCGACATCCAGACGCGCCTTTCTGAGCTGACCCAATCGTGGCCTTGCTCCCTGGCGGCTCTGGCTGCCCAGCTGTCTGGGTGCCGCTGCAGATGCGAATGCCAAGAAAGGCACGCATACAAGTGGATGTTTGACCACTGCGTGCCTGCTAATTGTTTCACGGCACGGTTCCTGCGCAGGCAAAACTGTTGTACCGTCTCGTTCGGCTCGCGGCGAGGAGGAGGAAAACGAGGAGGAAGAGGCGAAGGAGGAGGGGGGAAGGAGCGGACGTAGGAGCGACGGAGTATGACCAGGAGGAAACGTCAACATGACACGTGCAGATCTCACCCGCTCAACGCCAAGACATCATGGAACCGCGCGCACGGGGCCTGCCTGGGGACTCCAGGACTGTCATTGTGCTGCTCGCGGCTTCTCGTGCCTTGTCGTGGGGCCTGCGGTGGGGGTCGAAGGCGGCATCCAGACGTGGCACAAGATGGCCCCGACCAGCTTTGATGCCGCCCCCAAAAAGGCGACAGAAATTAAAGCGTCCAGCGCAATCTGACATAGCAGCCTTACGCGGTGGCTCACGCGGGCCGCCAGCGCGGCACGCTACATTGAAGACGAGGGTGCTTACGCGCGACCTTCCGCAAGGAGCTTACGCGCGAACGCGGGCGCAATCGAACCCGCTCGTTCTGCGTCGCTCGAATGGCACCAGGACGCGAACGCTGGCTGGCTTGTGACAGTGCCTGCCGACTTCCCCAGGCGGCCACGGCCCTTGTCGTCCAGGGATCGGGCAAAGCGTCGCCTCAAGGCGCAGGCGAGCAACGTTTGAAACGGGCCTCGCAGCGCATCAACCGCACAACGCGAGCAAGGACTGCGCAGACGGCCCCCCAGGAGCCCCAGGCGACTCTCAAAGAGGCCCCCGAGGCCCAAGGCGCGCCGAAATGCCGACTCCACGAAGCACCGCGACAACCAAGCACCTTCAAGACCGTGTCACGTTGCAGCGTTCCTGCGCATCTTCCGCTGGCTTGGTGGCGGGCACGCGCGACAACGCGAAAGGGCTGTCGCCTGAACAGCGGCAGGAGACGACCACCAGGGCAACTCCACGACCTCTGAAGATGCTGGGGTGAGCTGCTCTTGGGGATCCGCCGCTGCTTCCGCCCCAAGACGCCCTGGCCTCATTTGGATTCCTTGAGGACGAGGCCCTCTGGAAACGCCCTGCCCATACATCCGACGGATCGTTTGTTTCTTATTCCACGGGCGCCAACAGTCTCGACCCCTTCCCTAGGGGTAAGTTTTCGGCCCCAAAACTTGCTTGTTAATTATGGGGCCCGGAAGGGGACCTCAGACCGACCTGCAAGAGAAGATCGCGCACTTGAAACGGCAACCCACCCGAAATCTGGGCTACCTCCCCCCCCCAGTGCCTCCTTGGGCGCGCCCCCTTGCCCAGAGGAAGAAGCGGCCAGCCTCGCCGCCCGCCAGGGCGCTGCCGCTGAAGGCCAGGTGGCAGCCCCTGCTATCCCGCTCCAAGAGGCACTTGTCCCGCTGGAGAGACACCTCGGGACACCCGCTCAATGGACTTGTTAAGACGAAGCCGGGACGAGGACAACATCGGGTGAGGATCGATCCGGAACCTCTGAGATCCGGCGGCTCTGGAGGATGTCTCGGGCGCCGCGGCAGTCTCAGAGCGTTCCGGAACGCTCTGAGAGCGGTCCGGAATGCTCTGGAATGGATTGATCCTCGTCCTAGCCCCGTCCGACCGACCCCTGACTGCGGGCGGGCAGTCTTTCTCAGCGCCAGCGTCTCTTTCTGAGGAGGATCCTTGAGGCCTCGCGCGGCAGCTCGAGGCTTGAGCTTACTCTCGGGGGCGGCCAAGAGGGGGGTGTCCAAGAGGGGGGTGCGCAAATCATGACCGGCGGCATGTGCGCGGCCCAGCGGGGGGGCCAGGGACGTAATGAAATAAGAAGAGGCGCCATGAAATCTGGGGAGATATCATGGCCCCCGCCATGATATCCACCCCCCCCTAGTCATCACCCCCCTCTTTTCCGCCCCCGACGATAATACAACTACTGCGCGCCGCGCGCGGCCTCCCGGGACTTTCCTCATGACTTTCCGTCTCGGCCTCCCAGGGGCAGTTTTCGGACCCCCGGGTCCATCCGAACGAGTCTGGTGCAGCAGACTGCCCTTGGGGAAGGGGTCGGGACCAATATGGGGCCCGCGGATGGAATTGCCCGAGGACGCACAAGACCTACTTGCAAAAGTAGCCATGCCAAGGGATTCATCCACGACAAATGATGATGCGAACAGACACGTGATCCTCCTTGGGAGCTGTATATAGAAAGC